AGCAATATTTAGAGCTTTTAGGAATCACCATACTGTTTTCCACAGAGGTTGTACTAGTTTGCACTCCCACCAACAGTATAGAAGTATTGCCTTTTCGCCACACTCTCTCCAACAACTATTATTTTTTGAGTTATTGATAATTGCCATTCTGACTGGAGTTAGGTGGTATCTCAGTGTGGTTTTGATTTGCATCTCCCTGATGATTAGTGAGGTTGACCATTTTTTCATGTGTCTGTTGGCTGCTCAGATGTCTTCCTTTGAGACGTGTCTGTTCATATCTTTTGCCCATTTTATAATGGGGTTATTTGTTTTTTTCTTTTCAGCACATTTGAGTTCCTTGTAGATCCAGGATGTTAAGCCTTTGTCAGATCTGGAGTTGGCAAATACTTTTTCCCAGTCTGTAGGCTGTCTCCCTGTCTCTCTTGATGGTTTCTTTGACTTTGCAGAAGCTTGTCAGTTTAATGTTTTTAGTCTTAAAATCTATTTTATTTAAGACTAGTGTAATAACCTCTGTTTTCTTTTGGTTAGTATTGTGATAGTATATTCTTCCATATTTTATTGCATTTCTGTGTCCTTATTTTTAAGGTTCTTGTCTCATATACAGCATATATTTAGATTTTATTTTTAATATAATCTGAAAATCTTTGTGTTTTTACTCAGAATATCTAAACAATTTATATTTAATGGAATCACTATAATATTTGAGTTTAAAACCACCACATAACTATTATTTTTCTATTTAACCCATTTTTATCCTTTCTTGCTTTTTAAATTACTGTGTCATTTTATATTATTTGTTCACTTACTTATAGTGGATATGCTAAAAACTAAACATTCAGTCTTCATTTATTAGACACTAACATGAAGAATTATATTAAACACTTCCCTGAAAATGCAAGGATTTTACAATATTTGAATTTCTATTTATTCTGTCATCTTTTAAAATATTGTTATGTGTGTTAATTCTCTGAATGTTTTAAACCCTAGAAGACATTATTGTTGTTTAATATATTCAATATTTATTTTTATTAATCCACACACTTGTACTTTTTTTTTTTTGAGTTGGAGTCTCACTCTGTCGCCCAGACTGGAGTGCAGTGGCCACTCCTGGTCACCGCAGCCTCAACCTGCTGGGCTCTGGCATTCCTTCTGCCTCAGCCTTCTGAGTAGCTGGAATTACGGCATGTGCTACCACGCCCGGCTGATTTTTTTTATTTTATTGTAGAGATGAGGTCTCGCTACCCAGACGGGTCTCGAACCCTCGGGCTCAGGCAATCCACTCACCTCAGCCTCCCAAAGGCGCGGGATTACAGGCTGAGCCACCGAGCCTGGCTTACTTGTACTTTTTAATGTTGTTATTCCCACTGTGCTTTTCTGTAGTTTTTTGGATTTTTCAGAGAGGAAGGTTTCCTGGTACTCATTTCCTATTACTTTAAATTCCTTATGGCATTTCTTTTATAAATCTGTCAATGATTAATTGTCTCAGTTTTTGTTTGCCTGAAAACAACTCCATTCACTTTCCTATTCAGCATATACTTGGCAAGGAGATGCAGTTGAGGTTACTTATTCAAGTCATTCTTGACCAGTATGCTAGGTTTGATGGCAAAATTTGATAACTCTACCTATCTCTATGATTTTGCCTTCTCAGTTTCGTTAGTTGTAACTTGAAAACTGTATTACCTACATTGTATGGTTTATAACATGGTATCCAGTCATTAGAACAGTTCCTAGCAAATAGCAGACTCCTAATAAAAATTAGTTCATCTCCTGCCATGTGAAAATTTACAAAGAAACCGACCTGTAATAAGATATAAATTACTTTGTTAATCTGCTAGAACACATAACAAAAATAAGGTGAGGAAAGATCACTCAGAGAGTCTTTTTTTTAGTTGTAACTTTCTTTTAAAGATGTGGGGTACAATTCAGGGTTAGGTATACAAATGTTCATTATGTAGGTACCCTTGTTAATGAGATGTGCCCCCTCTCCCCCAGCAGATTCCCACTACTGCCAGTCTCACCCCCGCCCTCCCCTGGTAGTTTCCTACTACTGCCAATCCTTTTCTTATAGTATTACGATAATTGTTCAAGGTCTGCCTATAAGTGAGAACTTGTCATACTCAGTTCTTTGTTTCTGTGATAGATCACTCAGTATTATAGATTCTAAGTCCATCCAGGTTGCTGTGAAGTTCATAATTTTGTCCTTCTTTATGGCTGCATAATATTCCATCATGTATATGTACATTTTAAAAATCCAGTCCTCTTTTAATGGGCAGCATGGTTGGTCCCATGTTTTTGCTATTGTGAACAGTGCACTCGCAGATATTTAAATAGGTGAAATCCACAACTAACCTATGAGGCGGTCAAGTGTAGGCGTAAGAACACCAAGGTGTAGAGTGAATGCATATGTTGTGCTGCTGGAGGCAGGTGTTCTCCTAAACACAGGCAAGGAGTTGATCAATCATTTTCACCCAGGGCAGTCTAAGGGAGACTGGACTGATAGTGGCTGGGGCAAAGGAATCATCTCCATTCATCCCCTATATTTTTGATACCTCCTAACTGAAGGAAAGCTCTGATTTTCCCATAAGTTTTCTCTGTGACTTTCCCCTCCTTTTTCTCCCTTCTCCACCACTCAGTTTGAGCACCGGTCTCTATCATGAGATATGGCACTTCACCTTTTTATTTAATATTTCTTTAAAAAACAAATCCTAGTTTGTAGAAGTTTAGCTCAGGGATTGAAAACAGTAGGCTCAACATAAACAACTCTCACAACATTTGAACTCAATTTATGCGCCAAGGATATCTAAGGGTATATGTTAAGCACCTCCAACCTTTGCAACAACCCTGCACAGTACCTTTGAACACTCTTATTTGAAGGAAGAGAAATTGTGGCTCAAAAGGTGAAGTATCTATACATCAGGAATGAGCCCGTTTTAAAGAAAAAACAGCTAGTGGTACCTTATCAATTCAGGAGGTGGGGGAGAGGCTAGCAGCTCTCCATCGAGTAACAGCCTCTTGGAGCTACATTTGGCTTTAATTTACTTTCTAGTAGCCTTGGTAACAAAAAAGATAATTTCTCCATCTAGATAAATTAATCCAGGACCGGAAGAAGTCTCTTAAGAATAAGCTAAAGCAAGATACTACTCAGAAGAAATATCAGGATTTTCTGGACATTCTCTTGAGGGCCAAAGTAAGTCTTCCAAACTTCTGAGCACACATTCAACTGAATAATTAAATAATAAATAAATTAAATGAAAATAACACATAAATAAATTAGAGAAACTTATTTGTTAACTGATGCTTTTTTTCAGGGAGGGGGAGTTGGTGTCTCACTCTGTTGCCCAGGCTGGAATGCAGTGGTACGATCACAGTTCATCGCAGCCTCAATCTTCTGGGCTCAGGCAGTCCGTCTGCCTCAGCCTCCCAAGTAGCTGGGACTATAGGTGCATGCCATCACACCCGGCTGATTTATTTGTTATTGTTTTGTAGAGACGAGGTCTCACTATGTTGCCTAGGCTGGTCTCAAATGCCTGGGTTCAAGCAAAACTCCTACCTAGGATTCCCAAAGTGCTGGGATTACAGGCATGAGCCACCACGCCTGGCAACCACTGCATGTTGAACTTCTTTTATGAAGATATGCCTCCTTGTCCTCCCAGGGCTTTTCCTCATTCCTCCAGTATCACATTTTAATTATTTAGGCAACCATCTATCTTTTCCTAAGGTCACAAACTGCTGAAACCTTCTTCTTCAACATGTGGTCCATAAACCAACAGCATGGGTAAAACCTAGGAGCTTGTCAGAAATGCAGACTCTCAGGTCTCACCTCAGATTTAGTGGATTAGAATTTTCATCTTAATAAATCCCATAGTGATTTGTGTGCAATTAAAGCTTGAAAAACCCTGTCCTAGAAGACCAAGGTCACAGTTTATTCTAACGCCCTAGTAACTAGCACAGCACTACATGCCTGGCTCATGAGGTGTCTGTGTGGTGTTAATGACAAAAGTGAGACTTGAGAATTAATAGTCACTCAATATGTGACAACTCTTATTGCTACTAGGCTGGCAATCCGGTAAAGATCAAATTAGATGATATAGGTAAAGATCCTGATGGGTGGGGATAAAAACAATATTTTAAATTTTATTTTGTATTTATTATATATTTTAATACATTTTTCTTAATGATTTTTGCTTACGTGCCAAGCACCTTTAAAACCTTTACTGTAACAACTTGCAAGGAAATTATAAATATTCTCATTTGAGGAAAATAAATTGTGGCTCAAAAGGTGAAGTCAACTGCTCAAGGTGCCATACTTAGAAAGTAACAGTCAGGATTTAAGACAATTCTGCCTCTGTCCGAAACCCATTCCCTTCCTGTTGTACCAGACAGCACCATGTGACCATAATTTTACATCCTCATCTCCATGTTTTGATAAGTATTTGCTGGATTGAATTATACTGAATTATTTGAAGGAACAAAAAAATACCCTGTGAACCCAATTTTCATTGTATTGACCAACTTTACCATGTGAAACATGAGTCTGCCTAAACCATACTACTAAGAACAGGGCACTGGGAAATGATGTGTATTTGGAAATTGAATAGACTTGCTGGGAACTAAAGACTTTTAAAAATAACATTTTCCAGTTGGAAAAATACATTAATTGTCAAACAAAATTAAATATACAGTAAATGGAATAAAAACTATCTGCAATCACATTTGATAATGTAACTATTTTCTTTAAATGTTTTATCTATTCAACACATATATTTTAAAATTAATATTATTTTACATATACACATACATATAATACATTTCTAATACTGCTGTTTACCTAACATTATATCATGAGCTTCCCCCTTACCAACAAGAAGTTGTTCAGAAACATAATTTTAGTAACTACATAATATCAATATCCCATGTTATAGATGGTCCATAATTTATTTTACCTTCCCTACTGTTGTTGGCCATTTAGGATCTTTCCAATTTTTGACTATGGTATTAAACATCCTTGTACATAAATTTCTTGTGTAATTTTTAAGCATTTTCTTAGATTTTATTCCTTTAAGTAGAATTGCTAAATTAAAAGTTGTGAACATTTATAGGACTCTTGATTCATACTGCCCAATTGAATCCTACTCAGTCATAGATTTTTTTTAAAACAAGGCCTAGTGTTCTTTTAAGGTCTGAAAATAGTGAAATAGAAAAATATATACCATATTAGTTTAATTAATTTTGAATTTTAAAACTTAATATTTTTCTATGATCATTGCTACATGAAGATCATCATAGATCTTTTGTCTATGATCATTGCTACGTGAAAGAGATGACCATTAATAACCAACTTTGGATAAAGATCATCACTGTATTTTTTAGGATGAACACAGAGAACACTTCTCTGAAGAAGATATCCGAGCTGAAGTGAAAACATTCATGTTTGCAGGACACGACACCACATCCAGTGCTATATCTTGGATCCTCTACTGCTTGGGAAAGAACCCTGTGCATCAGCAGAGATGCAGAGATGAAATCAGGGAACTCCTAGGGGATGGGTCCGCTATTACCTGGTAAGATCTGTATCCCTATTTCACCCTGAATTTTCTCTTTATACATTTGACCATTTCTCTCTTCTGGTATCCAATAGACTATAGTGCATTGCAATAGTATGTATATATTGGGGAAGGTGAAAATGCACACTAGCATCCTATGTTGTTTTAAATATCGTCACTAATTTTGGGGGGGGTTGGAGTCTCACTTTGTGGTCTAGGCTGGAATGCAGTGGCACACTCACGGCCACCACAGCCTCGACCTGCTGGGCTCAGGCGATCCTTCTGCCTCAGCCTCCCAAGTAACTGGAACTACAAGTGAGCACTACCATGCCCGGCCAATTTTTTTTTTTTTATTGTAGAGACAAGATCTCGCCAAGTTGCCCAGGCTGGTCTTGAACTCCTGGGCTCAGGCAATCCTCTTGCCTCCACCTCCCAAAGTGCTGGGATTACAAGCTTGAGCCACTGAGCCTGTCACTAATTTTTATACAGAAAAATTCTGTGTCGATAGATAGTACTCAGTGTGGACCATTTTATTACTCTTTTCACTTCAGGTAATGGTACAGTGGCAGAAGGGATAGTCTTCCTGCCTTATTTAAGCCATAGAGGGCCAGAATATGACAAAGACTTACTGGGACCCCCGGTTTTACAACCTTAGATTGCCCAAGCAAGCTGTCTAATCGCTTGACATGGACGAGAATTCACATACCTCCCACCTCCTTGTCATTATCCCCTGCTCTTGGTATTAGCTTTGAATTTGAACCTTACACATGACTGCCCCACAATTCTGATTAACCTTGGGCTATTTGGCATCTCATGGTGCAAATGAAGCCAAATTGATACATAAACTTTTAAAATTATGAAACAGGGCATATTTTAAAAGTACAGAGAACACAATGCACAGCTCAAAATGTTATATAACAAGCACCCATGTAGTCCCAACCCTAGTTTAAAAACCAATTTGAACATTAACAGTACTACTAGAAATCTCATGTCTACCTTCCCATCACACACTCCTCCTTCTCCCCAAGAAGTAGATGTTCTCCTGACTTTTATGGTATGCATTCTTTGTTTTTGTTTCTAGTTTTATTACCTAAGCATGCAACTTCAAATACTAGAGTTCAGTTTTTCTTCTGTTTGAAGTGCATATCCATAAAATCATAAAAACATTTGGGGGGGGGCTTCATTTATGAGAATAGTTGTTTTTCTGTCATTTTCATTGCTATACGAAATTCTATTACATGGACCATGATTCATATATTCATTCTAGTGTTGATGAGTATTTAGGCTATTCCCAAGTTTGGTTTTGTTTTTGCTGTTACAGTAGTTCCCCTTATTTGTGATTTCACTTTCCATGGTTTCAGTTACCTACAGTCAACCATGGCCCAAAAATATTAAGTGGAAAATTCCATCAATATAAACAAACAACTTACAAGTTTTAAATTGGTGCTATTCTGAGTAGCATAATGAAATCTTCTACCATCCTACTCCATCACAAGCAGGACATGAATCACTACTTTGTCCAGCTTATCCACACTGTATGCACTACCTGTCCTTTGGTCACTTAGCAGCTGTCTTGGTTGTCAGATCAACTGTCACAGTATTACTGTGCTTGTGTTAAAGTAATTCTTATTTTACTGAATAATGGCCAGAGTAGTGATGCCAGCATATTGTTATAATTGTTCGATTTTATTAGTAGTTATTGTTATTACTGTCTTATTTATTAGCTGCCTAATGTGTAAACTAAACTTTATTATAGGTATGTATGTATATGAAAACACAGTATGTACAGGGTTTGGTACTATCCACAGTTTCAGGTATCCATTGAGAGGCTTAGAAAATATCCCTCACAGCTGGACTCGGTTACTCAGCCTGTAATCCCGCGCCTTGGGAGGCTGAGGTGAGTGGATTGCCTGAGCCCACGGGTTCAAGACCCGCCTGGGCAACTTGGCGAGACCTCATCTCTCCAATAAATCAAAAATCAGCTGGGTGTGGTAGCACGTGCCTGTAGTTCCAGCTACTTGGAAGGCTGAGGCGGAAGGATCGCTGGAGCCCAGCAAGTCAAGTCCACTTTCTTTTGTTTCAAGACATTTTTTATTTCCTCCTTAGTTTCTTCCTTGATCTAATGGCCGGGAGTGGCCATTGCACTCCAGTCTGGGTGACAGAGTAAGACTCCAACTCAAAAAAAAAAAAAAGAAAATAGCCCTCACAGATAAGGAGGAACTACTGTATAATTAATGTGTTTATGAACAACCATCCAATCCTGGACTTTTCTTTCTTGGGAGATCTTTTATTAATTATTCAATCTCTCTACTCATTATTGGTCTATTCAAGTTTTCTATTTCTCCTAATTCAATCTTGGTAGGTTGTATGTGTTCAGGAATTTGTCGATTTTCTCTAGGTTTTCTAGTTTGTTAGTGTAAAGTTGTTCATAATAATTGTTGATAGTCTTTTGTGTTTCTGTAATATCAGTTGTAATGTCTCCTTTTTCATTTCTATTTTTGTTCTTGGTTAGTCTAGTAAGTAGTTTATCAATGTTATTCATCTTTTTAAAAAACAACTTTTCATTTTGTTGATTTTTGCGTTGTTGTTGTTGTTGTTGAGACAGAGTCTTGTTCTGTTACCCAGGCTTGAGAGCAGTGCCATAATCATAGCTCAATGAAGCCTCAAACTCCTGGACTCAAGGGATCGTCCCAGCAGCCTCCTAAGTAGAGATACCACAGGTGTGTGCTAACACACCTAGATATATATATATATTAGAAACAGAGTCTCACTGTGTAGCTCAGGCTGGTCTTGAAAGAATCTTGACCTCAAACAATCCTCCCACCTCAGCCTCCCAAACCATTTGTATTACATGTGCGAACCACCATGTCTTGCTCAATGTTTTTTTAGTCTCTATTTTATTTAATTATCTGATCTTTCTTTCCTTCTACTAAGTTGGTGTTGTTTTATTCTTGTTTTTGTAGTTCCTTGAGGTGCATCATTAGATTGTCTATTTGAAATCTTTCTACTTTTTTGCTATAGGTGCTTATTGCTATAGATGTTTCTCTTAGCACTTGCTTTGCTGTTTCCCATAAGTTTTGGTATGTTAAGTTTCCACTTTCTTTTGTTTCAAGACATTTTTTATTTCCTCTTTAGTTTCTTCCTTGATCTAATTGTTGTTTAGGACCATGTTGTTTAATTTCCATGTAATTGTACAGTTTTCAGAGTTCTTCTTGTTTGTGATTTCTAGTTTTATTCCATTGTGATCCCAAAAGATAAGATTTTGATTTTGATAAGATTTTGATTTTTTAAAAAAATTGTTGAGAAGTGTTTTGTGTCCTAATGTTTGGTCTTTCCTGGAGAATGTCCCATGTGCTGATGAGAAGAATGTGTATTCTGTAGCTTTGGGTGAAATATTCTGTGTCTTTTAAGTCCATTTGGTCTAATGTGCAGTTTAAATCCAATGTTTCTTTGTTAATTTTATGATCTACCTTGTGCTGAGAGTGGGGTGTTGAAGGCCCCAACTATTATTGTATTGGAATCTATCTCTCCCTTTAGACCTAACAATGTTTGCTTTATATAACTGGTCCTCCTTTTTGGGTGCATATGTGCTTAGAACTGTTATATCCTCTCACTGAATTGATCCCTTTATCATTGTATAATGACCTTCTTTGTTTCTTTTTTTACGATTTTTGACTTAAAGTCTCTTTTATCTGATACAGGTATAGCTACTTCTGCTCACTTTTGTTTCCTGATTGCATGGAATCTTTTTCCATTCTTTTACTTTCAGTCTTTATGCACCTTTGCAGGTGAAATGAGTTTCTTGTAGACAGCATATAATTGGGTCATGTATTTTATCCATTTAGCCAGTCTATATCTTTTAAGTAGAAAGTTTAATTAATTTACATTCAAGGTTATTACTGATATGTGAGAACTTATTCTTGTCATTTTATTCATTGATTTCTGGTTACTTTGTATGTTCTTTGTCCTTTCTTTCTCTTGTTGTTTTTCACTGTGGTTTGGTGGTACTCTGTAGTGGTAACATTTGAAATTTTTCCCTTTCTTGTTTGTGTGTGTTTACTCTACAAGTGTTTTCTATATTTTCAAATGTTTTCATGATGGTAGTTATTATTTTTTAATTTCTGGTCATAGGAGTCCCTTAAGCACTTATTGTAGGGCCACTCTAATGATAATGAATTCCCTAAGCTTTTACTTGTCTGAGAAAGACTTTGTTTCTCCTTCATTTAGCTTTGCTGGGTATAGTATCCTTGACTGACCATTTTTTATTTTAGTACTTTTAATATATTATCCCATTTTCTACTGGACTGTAAGGTTTCTGCTGAGAAATCTGCTGTGAGCCTCATGGGATTTCCTTAGATGCTTTTCTCTAGCTGTTTTTTAGAATTTTTCTTCTATTTTTGACAGTCTGACTATAATGTGCCTTTTTGAGTTGTATCTGTTTGGGAATCTTTGAGCCTTCTTTATCTGGATGTCTAATCTCTTGCTACACTTAGGAAGTTTTCAAGTATTATTTTGTTAAATAGATTTTCTAATCATTTCATTGTCTCTTCACCTTCTGGAACATCAAAATTTTGAATTTTGGTTAAGTTATGGTGTCCTATATGTCACATAGACTTTGCTCATTCTTTTTTGTTCTTTTATTTAAACACCTGTCTTACTGACTTATTTGAAAAGACCTGTCTTCAAGTTCTAAGTTTCTTTCTTCTACTTGATCTAGTCTAATTGTTGAGACTTTCAAATACATTTTGTATTTCATTCAATGAATTCTTCAGTTCAGGAATTTCTCTTTGCTTTTTTATAGCTATATCTTGTCAATTTCTCATTCACATCCTGAATTGTTTTTCTGATTTTTTTTGGTAGTGTTTTTCAATATTCTCTTGTATCTCATTGGACCTTTTTAAACTGGACTTCTTTACTATATGCATTTTGAATCTTTTGCCAGAATTTTATAAATTTATTTTCTATTGGAATCTGTTGCTGAAGAATTGTTGTGTTCCTTTGGAGATGTAACATTTTCTTGCTTTTTCATGTTTCTTGTGTTCTTACATTGATATCTGTGCATCTTCTTCCAATATTTTGAATTTGCTTTCATAGGGGAGGACTTTGTCCTGAAGATGTATCTATGGCATCATTTGGATAGGGCACTTTGGCTTTGATTCTGGGTATGTGCAGTAGTGTAGTCTCTATGATTTCTTCAGTTATTAACAACATCATTGGTGTCTGTGATTTCCTCAGTGGCTCAAGGTGCAGTTGTCAGTGAGAGCTGTGGTAAAGTTCTTCTGAGGACTGGGATGCCAGGTGAGTCAGTTTTCAGGTCCCAGTGGTGAAAATGGTGGACTGAGCATGCCTGTTCTTGGGCCCCAGGGTGGTACATGCTAGCACTAGTGTAACCAGTCTCTGCAGGCCAATTCTTGGACTTCCAGGTGGCTATCTTGGGTACCAGAAATGACAATAGTGAGCCATGGGGTGAGTGGGTTCTTGAGCCCCTGGGCAGTGGGTGTGACATTGGCAATGGTAGCAGTGGTGAGACAACCTTCTAGGAATGAAGTAGTCTGTGCTGGTGTTGGCAGTGACTGTAATGTGCTGGGCAGGCCAGTCCCTAAGCTCACAGTTGGCATTTGTGTATGAGTGCCAGCTGTGGTGGTAGCAGCAGGATGTGTGGACCCAACCTCAGACCCTAGGAGAAGTTCTCAGGTGCCAATGGTGGTAAACTGTGCTGAGCAGTCCCCAGTCCCTGGACAGCATGGGCAGGTACTGGGAAAGATGGAGCTGGGCTGGGAATATCTGCCCTCAGTTCCCCTCAGTGATGCATGCAGACACTAGCTGTCATAAGCAGCAGCAGGGTGATCCCCAGGCTGCTGGCAGAATGCTCATTTGGGGGCAGCAGTGGCTGTGCTTTGGCCCTGCTACTGGGGAGGATGAGATTGCTTTCAGTGAGAGCAACCATAGGCTGGTGTCTTGGGAGCACGTGCCTCACTAGCTCCTCAGCCCCACAGCTGCCTGTAGTAGAGTTATAGGCAGCAGAGTTTGTCCTCAAAACATGAAAATGTGTGGTTGTCCTTCCACTGGGGGTGGTGGAGTCAATGTCAATAGCTCCCGCCTTGGCCCAGTGACAGCAGCTACTGACAGGGAATGTCATTGGGGCTTCAGGGATGTAGAGATGCAGAAGTTGTTGAGCTCCAGTGCAGGACACAGTCTGGTGTAGGTTGGGCCTTCAAAATGGTGACATACTGCAGCTGCTTAAGACTCGAGGTTTTGTGGCACCCAGATTGAGCTTTCTTTGTTTAGAGTAATGCCTTTGTGTAGTCTCCAGGCAGCTCCCTATGTTAGTCTCAGAGCCCACAAGGGGCAACAGGTTCTCCCATGGCTAGGATTGCAGGAACGTGTAGCAGGAATGTGGACTGCTGAGGGTCTCTTACTTACCCTTCACCCACACGAAGGAGCTTCTCCAGACTCCCAGTTGATTCCCACCAGATAGGCTGTCTCGCTTCTCTCTCCTCCCTTGCTTTTGGTGCTTCTCATCACTTCTCTGTTGACTCCCAGTGTTCTCTCTTAGATAATCTACTCAAAGTGCAATTATCTACTTGCTATTTTTGTCCCTTTCTGTGGAAGAGATGAGTTGGCCATCTTGAAGCCCTCCACATTTTATATTTTTTATTATTTCCATTACCTGCTGAAACTTTTCAATATGTCTTTTATCTCCTTGCACTCAGTAAGAAAAGCTATTTTAAAATGGAGTCTCATAATTCTATTTGAAACTCTCATGGATTTGATATTATCTGCTGGATGGTAGTGGTGGTGGTGGTGGTGGTGGTTGTTCATTTTATCCAGACTAATTTTTAACCTGGCTACTTTTAACTAAGTACCAAACAGCTTTTTGACCAAATTACTTGTAGGCTTAGGCTTATGTAAGCTTCTTCCAGAGAGGATTTACATTTGTGTATGCCAGATGTCTGTAATCATGCAATTCAGAATCCTCTTAATCCAAAAATAGGAATTTAGATAATTAAAAGTGCTGAGCTGTTGAGTTGGTAAATTTTTGTACTTCTAGTTCACTCTTTTTACTAGGATGCTAACTTAGCTGGATTCTCCAGGCACTTTCCCCCAGGGAACCCTGGAATCCAAGCCTTGTCCACAGTCACCTGAGTCTACCCAAAGCACTTGTGAGCCTCCCAGTTCATGCTTCTGGAATCAGCAAGTTTCCAGCAGAAAAGCAGGTCCAAATGCCAGGATCAAATCCCTAAATTTCCATTCTACTCCTGGCCCAACATCTCTTTACTATATTATTAGCTCTCTGAAGCATTCAAGAAGAGAGAGCAAGAGAGATCCAAATTTTCTGGTTGTCACCATAGTAGATTTTATCTGAGTTACTTAGTCCACCATTACCAGAAACAAAATTTTGTTTATGTAAACTTTTTCCCCTAATTTTGTATATTTGTGGAATTTTTTTTCTAACATTCTCACCTGAAGGTTTCAATTTTATTGGTCTTTCCAATGAACCAGTGCTTAGCATTGCTGATGCTGATGTTTTTACCTATTTTATTGATTGTTATTCATATCTTCACTATTTTTTCTTCTACTTCTTTGCATTTATTTTTCTTTCCATATACTTATTTCTAGATGCTTGCTTTTTCAGTCCCAGCCCAGGGCTGGGGATGGTTTACCACAGTCCCTACATGTGGTGAGCTCCCGCTTCTGACTCATATCTCCTTGCCTAGCGTTCCACTTCTGGTTCATGACAGAAGCATCAACTAGCATCTTCTCTTTTCTGTGAATGCCAATCCTCTTTATGGCTTCCTTGCAGCTGAGTTATCTCCATGATTCTTTTAAGAATGTGTTTTAAAGTTCCCTAAGCTTTTTCAGTTATCTTAGTCAAAAGGGTAGTCTGTATTCCTACTACACCATTACCAGAAGTACTTGTTAATTCTTCATAAAAGAAAAACCACTTTGAATATAAAGAGAGCCCACACTTCTATCCAGATGGCTCATAGATCTGTAATATTGGTCACAGGGACCCTGAAATAGGTACATCTCAGGACAAAACCCTTGTATCTAAGGAAAAAACTTCAGGTTACATGTGTACGCGTTGTTCATGCTAACATTAAGCTTTTCCGAAGAGATACTTGGGATGTCTGAAGTATTTCTTTCGGTAAAGAAAAAAATTCATTCCCAGCTACCAAAATGGAGAAAGGTTGGACTTTTAATGCAATGGCTAACTGACTACCCCTTCTTACTCTTCCCTTCCGTGCAATCCAGGGAACACCTGAGCCAGATGCCTTACACCACAATGTGCATCAAGGAATGCCTCCGACTCTACCCACCAGGAGCAACCATAGCCCGAATGCTCAATAAACCTGTCACCTTTCCAGATGGACGCTCCTTACCTGCAGGTCTTGAAACTTCTTAACACACTTGTGTCTCCACCAGTTATTTATCCTTAGAATCTGTGGCTCCTAGGTTCCATTCTTATTCTTCAGAGAGAAAGGGGAGAGAGCTCTCAGGACTACCCAAATAGGCACAGGTTAACAAATGTGCAAATGTGTAGAACCCTGCCACAGGGGCCAAAGCGTGGGCAAGGGGTCTTCATGAAGCATCACAGCTTTAATGCTGAACTTTGAAAGACTAAATTTGCGTCAACAAAGGTGAGAGAGGTACCATTGCAGGCAGAGAGAAGAGCAGGCATAAAGTAGAAGGCAACCTGCCTTCTTCCCTCCTTCACACACACCAGCAAGGCGTAATCACTGGAGTAATTCCTATAATCCAAGGTGTCACTGGAGTAATTCCTATAGTCCAGTTGACTCCAGGATTCATGGAGGGAAGCTGTGGGGTTCCACCTGGAGCTATGATGTAGCCAGATCACAGAGCTTTCTGAGGGCCAAGTTTGTGTTCAGCCTTTCTTGATCAAGCAGCAAACTGATAATTAAGATATTTGAGCAGGATAGCATGATTCTAATTCTGCTTTAGAAAGATTAATCTATTGGTGAGATGGAAAATGGATTGGAAAGATGGCATCGGAGACATAAAGGAATAAGCTAGAACTTATATTTGGTCTATGTTGAGGTGTGTTTCTACAACTTCCTTCGATCTTAACCCTCTTTCAAACACTGGATTTGACTGGGCAGTTGTAGTAGTCCAATTAAATGCAGTAAAATTTAATTGTTGCTGTGCTATTATAGTTGCCCAATAGCAATTAAATATGTATTTCCTGCAAAATCAACTTTACGACTGTAATAGTCAGAGCAAACAATTTTTTAGAACTAACTAGGGGCTAAGTATTGTTCTATATGCTTTGCATGTATTAACACTTTGTATCTTCCCCACAGTTCTACTGTGGAGATACTAGTATTATGCACAACTTAGACAAACTAAGATGCAAAGAGGTAAAACTTCATCTCTGGCAAATGGTGGACCCAGGATTCAAACCCAACTAGTCTCTGCTCTTAATTACTACACTAAAGCAACAACTTAAGCTTTCTCAGGATTCTCTCCTGTAACTTATTCATGGGTATCTCTCCTACTATCTAGAAGTTTTCTCTTTTCAATTCAGTCTTATTTTTCACACAATGTTTGCTGAAATACTTATTACCTACATAACATTCCATCTACCTAGTTGTTCAACCTAACTCAGAATTGACTTTTACTATCTTTTTCCTCAACTTTCTATTTCAGTAGTACCTAAATTCTGTCAATAAGCTCAAGTTTTTTCAATGTCAATAAAATGATTTGTTATTAATTATTTTTTTCTAGTTCTATTCTGGATCACTTAAGCCTTGTAATCTACAGGGCCTTACATTGCCCCCTCTTATACCAAAACTACAAGTTCAAAATATAGGAATCAGCATGACTTTTAGTTTCTCCCATTCAGTGCTTTCTATTTCATCTTCTTCTCACTTTCTTGATCTTGTCACTTTTGCTGCTGCCGTGAGAAACCATCTTTGCTTCAGACAATTCTGTTCAGATCCTGATAGATTTGGGCTGAAGAATGGTCTGACACCGGCTGACTCACCGTGTAGACTGTTGATTCACCATCTCTGGTCTCCCTCAGTCACTGTCCTTTCCTCCAAGTGTCTTCAAGGGCTGCACCTTGGTCCACCTCAAACCACAAGGAGGAAACAGGAAGTACACAAGCAGAGCTGTCTTCACCTCACGCTACATTCCTTAAGGCCACCTCTCCTTGCCCTCCAGAATTGTCAGGCCTTCACTGGACCCCTTGTGCTCACCTGTGTCATTTCTTGTTACCCTGCTTTCTTTCCTGCCCCTCCTCATAAACGTATACACACCATGACTTCACTTCCCTCCCCACTAGCCTGGGTTCATCACTTCAACTTCTACCTTGGCAATGCCTTCAACTTCCTTGAATATTTCCCCTTTACTACACTCATTCATCAATAATTCAACCAGCATTTAATTCTTCTATATACTTTCTCTTCCCTGCTAACAGGTACTTGAATGCAACTAGAGTACATTAAAGTATGTGCAAATGGGTGCTTCATAGCCACCAGACACACCTCTTCCCTTGTGTTACCAAAATCCTGTGTATTTCTCATTTGAAGCCAGCAACTTGGGAAGATCATTTCTTACAAAAATATGATCTTTTACTTTCAGAAAGAAACATGTTTATGATGCCTTCTTTCTCTCCCACACTCCACTATATCCCCATTTCCTCTTGATAAAAGATCCACTGCATCATGTGTGCCCCTCTCCTCGGTTGCCCACTGAGTGTCTACTCTAAGCACTTTGTTTTACTCTGAGCAGACTCTAGTGAGCAAAATGTCCAAAAGTAAGCATATAAGCACCTGTTTCCCCCAAACATGTTCCTCCTCCTGGATTCCTATATCAGTGAATAGCATCACTGTCCATGAATAATTTTAAGTCAGAAAACTAGAAAGTGCCCGAGCGTGGTGGCTCACACTTACAATCCTAGCACTTTGGGGGGCTGAGACTGGAAAATTGCTTGAGGCCAAGAGTTCGAGAAAGTTAGAAGTCATCTTACACACCTCCATCATCTTCCTTACCCATACAGTATCCGAGTTCTAGAATTTCAGCTATTTCCTCCTCAACAATCTTATCTTCATGGTCTCAGTTATTGCTTTTGTAACTTTTTGCCTACCAGAGTCCCCTAAATAATTTTTATATTTTCATACTTAGCTCTCTACAAACCAATCTATGTATAAAAAAGATAAATCATAAGTCTAGGTAAATTCTAAGTTCTAGTTCAAGAAACCTACACAGATGATTCTGTTTGCCACTGGTCCCCCCTAAGACTCTACTGGCAATATCAAGAAAAAAGAATAAAAAGAAGAAGAGAAAGAAAGAAAAGGAGGGAAGGAAGGAAGGAAGGAAGGAAGGATCCCAACTGTGAAAAGAATGGAAAGAAAGTAGTTAATAGCAAACAAAAGAGATTTTGATAAATTTATGAAATTAAGAAAGAAGGTGAGGTAGGGCTGCCAAATGAAACAGAAGTAGTAATTCCCATCTTTAAAAAAGTAACAAAAAGCCAGACACAGTGGCTCAAGCCTGTAATCCCAGCACTTTGGGAGGCGGATTGCCTGAGCCCAGGGGTTCGAGACCAGCCTGGGCAACTTGGTGAGACTTGGTATCTACAGTATATCAAAAAATTAACCTGGCATGGTAACATGTGCCTGTAGCTCTGGCTACTTGGAAGGTTGAGATGGAAGGATCGCCTGGGCCCAGTAGGTTGTTGCTGGGGTGACCGTGAGCGTTCCATTGCACTCCAGCCTGGGCAACAGTGTGAGACTCTGACAAAAAAAAAGACAACAAGGGAGTGGCTGCAGAGAGACTTTCAAGGAAGAGAACGTGGCTCTATTTTCAGAAATTGTGATTTTAATAAACTTAGTAAGGCTGAGCTACCTTAGGAAAAAAATGTATATCCATCACCTACAACAAATAGTCAATCCTAAAAAATCTTATTTTATCTTTTTAAAGTTAACATTTAGTTTACAACCTTGGATACATTAAATATAGCCTTTATTCTGGCAGAGAATAGGGAATGTCCATTCTGCTGACACTTTGCGACCCAAATAATATACAGGTTCCTGAGAGAGCTATCATATTTTTCTGACTGATGAATATCCATTTTTTACTAATCTTGTTAAGAGATATTTTGAACCTTGCCCAGAATTACTTACAACTGTGGAACATGGATATTGGGGATGGGAAGACAGATTTTTTTTTTCTCTCTTTTAATTTTTATTTTGAAATTGTGGGGTACAATTCAGGGTTAGGTATACAAATGTTCCTTGTGCAGGTACCCTTATTGATGAAGTGTGCCCCTCTTCCCCAGGTGGATATCCACTACTGTCAATCCCAGCTTCCCATCCCCGCCCCCCCTGCAGTTTCCTGCTACTTTCAATCCCTTTCCTACAGTAATATGGTAGTTGTTCAAGGTTCACTTATGAGTGAGAACATATGGTACTCAGCTCTTTGTTTCTATGAGAGATAACTCAGTATTATAAACTCTAATTCCATCCAGGTTGCTGCAGAGTTCATGATTTTGTTCTTCTTTATGGCTGAAAAATAGGAAGACAGATTTAGAAAGAGGAAGGAGGCATAATCATATCAGTCTAAGGCAGTCATTTTTTTTTTAATTGTAGACAAAAACTTTCATGGAGGGAAGCTGTGGGGTTCCACCTGAGCTATGATGTAGCCAGATCATAGAGCTTTCTGAGGGCCAAGCTTGTGTTCAACCTTTCTTGATCAAGCAGCAAACTGATAACTAAGATATTTGAGCAGGATAGGAACAATTTTTTTTCCTTTTATTGTAAAGATGTGGGATACAATTCAGGTTAAGTATACAAATGCTCCTTATGCAGGTAACTTTGTTGATGAAGTGTGCCCCTCCCCCCTCTGGGAGCTTTCCTCAACTGTAAGGCAGTCATTTATCTTTCTTTTCTTTAGTTTTTTCAGAAAATCTTTACTGAAGTCATTGAAGTGTTTTTAGGTCTTCTACATGATAATTAAAAATGGTAAACCATCATAAGTTATGAATTCTATTTTCTTTTTGCCCTAAGGTTCCATAGAGATTTAAGTCCTCAAAAAATAGAAATTTCCCTAAACTTAACTCTATATGTCTAAAGTATTCTTATTTTAACTATGTCATTTTGTGAGATAATGTGCATGGCTTTTTATTATAGGAATATACACATAGGGTGGCAGTTTGATTTTCTGAATTAGTAAACTCCATGGGGGACAAAAAGACAGATTCCTTCAAAAGTCAATAGCAAACTTACTAATAGTCTAGTATCTGCCATGGATCTGATGGTCCAGTAAGCCTTGTGTGGGGAGGGACATAGCCCAAATCATGAGTGTTCTGTGAAATCCCTTAAATAATTCACAATCACTAAATAGAATAAAATATAATGGGTTTTCTCCTATGTACACTTATGGGAGAGATCCATGGCAATCAACCAGACACTCTGGCTGTAAACCAGAATATACATTAACTCTGAAGAAAGACAAGAACAGACTTAGGAAGAGTCAAAAATATCTCATCTAGAGGACAGTGGTATGTGACTGTAATCCCATCTACTACACAGCAAGACCCCCATCTCAAAAATTATTTTTATTGACCATGATTTGAGACTCACCCAAGGAAGTTAATAATGGATGAGCCCATGGACCACACATCTTAGGTATTATCAATTACTGAACTTCAATAGGCACTCTGTTCTTGTGATCTCGGTGAGATTTCCAGAATCTGTTATGAGAGAACAACACTTCTTGAACCAGGGATTGAAACTTCAAAGAACATTAACTGCCAGGAAATAAACCTGATCCAACATGGAGGTTAGACTTTATGATTGAGACTTGGGAGAGTTCAATGACATGGGGTTTTTAAAACCCCAAATTTCAAGCAGTACCTCTGACCCATGTAAGAAAGCATGTTTCTTAAATGTCCTTGTTAGCTGACAATATGTGGATTTACCACTTAGGGATTTGTCAGTGGTGATCTGGCCATTTATTTTTGAAAGTGGTTTTTACTGTGCAGATGAGGCACTGTTATGGTATCCCAGTTGCCTTTCTAGCTCAAATCAGCTCTTTACCTCAGTCAGCAAGGTAGGTGGTGATGTTAGGATTGTTCAAGTTCAAAAAGTATCAAATGAGACTTTATGATACCAAAAACCGCAATTTATAATGAGTACATCAGCTATGAATACCTATCTATCAATTTGCACATCTGCAAGGCTTATAAAACAAAAAATACTAATAGAAGATTTTATCTGACTTTCAAAGACCTACACAAATCAATTGAACAAAAATAAGCAGGAATATAGAGTACCTAAACAATATAACTAATAAAATAGAACTTATGACTACAATAGCAAACTTTTTTCCAGTAGTAGAGAGCACACTTTCCTTTCAAATAGACCGGGAACATCCCTTAAGGTTGGTTGTATACTAGATCACAATAAAAAAAATTTAAAGCCTAATTACCAAAAGAGAAGCATTACAAAATAGTATTCTTTAAATCAATACAATAAAAGTGGAAATTAGCAACAACCTATTTTTCAGGAAGTTTCATTCATCTGTCTTTTTTTTTTAGTTGGAGTCTCACTCTGTTGCCCAGACTGGAGTGCAGTGGCCGCTCCCGGCCACCGCAGCCTCAACCTGCTGGGCTCTGGCGATCCTTCCGCCTCAGCCTTCCAAGTAGCTGGAACTACAGGCGTGCGCTACCACGCCCGGCTAGTTTTTTTTTTTTATTTATTGTAGAGATGAGGTTTCCCCAAGTTTCCCAGGCAGGTCTTGAACCCGCGGGCTCAGGCAATCCACTCACCTCAGCCTCCCAAAGGCACGGGATTACAGGCTGAGCCACCGAGCCCGGCTTCATCTGTCTTTTTTAACCTATTAAAAATTCCCGGGTCAAAGCAGAAGTACAAAATAAAACCATGACCACAAAAACTCTGCATATCAGAACCAATGGTCTGCAGCTAAACAGCATTCAGAGGAAAAGTTATAGCATTAAATATTGAATTTTTTATAAACAAAATAAAATAATTAAAATAAATTATTTAAACATTGATGTCACAAAGTAAGTAAGTTAACTAGAAAAAGAATAAGAGAGTAAGCTAAAAGAAAGTAGGTGAATTAATGAAGATAAATACAAAAGGTAATGGCATGGAAAGTAGAAAAGCTGCACAACTAGTTTACAAATATAATAGCTAACCAGGGTGGTGCTGGTCAAAAAAAAAAAAGACAAACCACTAACTAATATTACACAGTTCTATACACAAAGATTTGAAAAACTAGAAAAATTAATTTTATAATAGCATATAATTTGCCAAAACTGATCCTGATAGAGATAAATAGTGTAAACATGCCAATTTTCACAAAACTAGAGCCCCTAAAAATGAACCTATACAGTTTTTCAGCCATTTTATCAAAATTTTGAAGATTAAATAATTCCAATAATGCTTAAAACTTTTCCAGAGCACAGAAAAATTTAAAGGAAAACTTAGAAATGTATTTAAGAAAGTGTTTGGCAGTAATGGGAAACTGTCAGGGAAGGAGGATGGGATTGGCAGTTGAGGGTAACTGCTAGGGGAGGGAGAGGCATACCTCATCAACAAGGATACCTGCATAATCAATGTTTGTGTACCTACGCTGAATTGTACCCCACATCTTTATAATAAAAAATAATAATTTAAAAAATGAAAAAAAGAATAGCCAAAACAAAGGAAATATCTCACTGATAACAATTGATAAAATTGCACATGAATTTGTTGAGATAAATCTCACTTGTGTATGTCAACATAGGAATTCTAAATAAAATATTAGTAAACAGAATTCAACAGCACATCAAAATAAGTATATCATGACCGAGTAAGAAGGTCATTAACTGCAAGTGTTGTTTGATATTAGAAATTCATTAATATAATTTATTATATTTTATAGATTTAAGTATAAAACCACATAATCTCCACAGTGATCAATGGAGTCCCATAATATGGTAAAATATTACTTCAGTTTCATATTGGCTCTATATCCCACATGTTTTTATGATTCCAAACTATAATAAACACCCAAGCGACTGACTTCTATAATAATACAACAAAAAAATTATCTCACTCTCCGCTTAAACTTTTCAGTGATCCATATTGGCTTTTACATAAAACCTTAGCATGATTTATTTGCCGTTCTATGGTACAGGCCCAGCCAATCTCTCTAGGCTCTTCTACAGAAACTCTCCTTCTTGAATCCTGTTATACAATCTCCCCGTCTCCCAAATTTCCCAAGCTTTCTCAAGTCTTAAAGCTTTGCTTCATACTCCTTTGTCTGCCCCAAATTCCTTTCCAAATCCTCTTTACCTGGTTTGCTTCTACTGATTTCATGACACTGAGCTCCAAAGGCCTTGCCTGGGCCTCTTTCCTTGCATACATCCAAAAGTTCTCTAGGTGAGGTGCCCCTCACTATTCCCAAAGTATTCCGGGCTTCCCTCTGACTTGTTGCCTTGTATTGAAATGGGTCATCTGTTTCTTCCAATGGACTACAAGCTCCTTGAAGGCTGAAGTCTAATTGATCTCCACAGTGCTTACTGAAGTGTCTCTATGATGAATGCTTCTTGAATGATTAAGTAAGAGATGAATGTGTAATTCTTTTCTTGGTTAAGAAATCTATGAATATGGATGAATGAATCTTAGCTCATGCATTTTTCCTCTTTTTCTTCTGTTTCCTCAGGGATAACTGTGCTTCTCAATATCTGGGCTATTCATCACAACCCCACTATCTGGGAAGACCCTGAGGTATGATTGTTCCAACTGCACCCAATGGCATCTAAGATAGTCAACAACAACAAGAGGGGGGAGAAGCATCTTCACAGAAGGGGGAGCACTTAGGATAACCACCTGCATGTTAAGAAAAAGCAACATAGAACAAAAACTCTATGCTTTTAAGAGGAAAATGTTTGCACATTTTTAATCATTGTCAATATTTCATAATGATGCCTCAACAACAGATGCATATCACACAAGGGGATAGGACCAGTTAACTGACAGTGCGCTGTTTAACCACCTGCTCCCTGCTTTCATTGATTTATGCAGTCAACCTAGTCTCAGAGCTGTGAAGTGTATTGCAGATAACCTGTTACTGGTCATAATTAGGTAGCAAGATTGCAAACTCTGTTTTTTTTAAAGACCTAAACATATTTGAAATTAGCCCTCTAGGAATATTGCTCTCCTTCATACCCAGGGCTGACCTGAGAAGGCAAGGGGGGCTGGGAGAGAATAAGAATTCTCCTAATCTGCCAACCAGTGCTCCAACCTACCACACAGCCCAGGAAACACACATTAGCAACCTCTCACAAAGGCACTCGGGCAGGAACTGGACAACTTCAGCAAAGTTGTACATGGCACAAGTTGCTAGCTCGGTCAGTTTGAAAACCAAGGCACAGGAGAAAGAGGAAAATTTGATTCTTTTTCAATTTTTGTATGACAAAGGCTCTTGTTTACTGTGAAGGGAAAATAGCAAAGTCAATGTTTGGTCAAGTCTGACTGTCTTAATGATTTGCTGCTTTTTACCATCAGTGCCTTTTTAATCTGTCATTAGGTTATTGGCTCTGCTTTCTCCAGATATATTTCAGTGACAAGCTTTTGGGGAGCATCCAGCAAGACTTTTAATATCCACAGTGTTAACAGTCTGCTGGGGGGAGTGTACTCTAAGGGGAAGGGTGGAACTGGGAGCTTCACTCTCATTACAGGTCTTTAACCCCTTGAGATTCTCCAAGGAAAATTCTGATCAAAGACACTCCCATGCCTTCATACCATTCTCAGCTGGATCAAGGTAAAGACTCAAGTTGGTGAACTTAATGGAAAGTGTAACAGTGCTTACCTGACAGATGTTGACCCCCTTAAGGCCCTCGGCTAGCTGACACTACTATTGTTCCCCATCCTTCTGTCTGGCTTGTCTTCTCTTTGTGACCGGTATATTCAGATGGTGCTTTTTTAAGTCCCTGAAGGGACCAGTTAATGTCACAAAGGACAACTCCAGTCCTGGGTATATGGGCATGGATTGATGAAGACCATCCCCATTACAGGCCCAAAGACTACACTTAATCTTGCAATTGGCAAGGGTTGGGAATGACACTTTGTTATGGGGATTGGAATCTTCAAGCTCTTGTTCCTGCAGAGAGCAATGTTAGCCTGTGATTCAAATTTCCTTTTGGCACCTGGTATGAGAGACACCTGCTTTACCAAATGAAAATATAATCCATTAAGCATGCCAGGCTTATTTTTCTCATGCCCAAGCTTCAACTACAGAAGCTTCTAAATAGTAGTAAGAAGTAGCTTTTCTTTGTCATGATATGGGGGAAATTTTCTAGTTATATGGATTCTGAAGAATCAAAAGTTGATACAACTCACTACCATTTAGCAAGATGGGCTCAGGAATAATAGAACCAGTGTTCATAGTTTTGACATCAAGGAACTTGATGATCAGGGCATATTTAAGTTAAAATAAAACCTTTCCTGGATGCTTCCACATACTTGGAAACGGTTTGGAATGTGGATTTTGCTTCCCTATAAAAGTTGTCATATATAAAAAGATTGTTCTATGGTTTTAATACTGTAATATATAAATTAATCAGGTACAATTTTTCCTTCCTTGGTTTCCCCCAGGAACTGCATTGGGCAGCAGTTTGCCATGATTGAGTGTAAAGTGGCTCTGGCCTTGACTCTGCTCCGCTTCGAGGTGGCTGTGGACCACTCCAGGCCTCCCATCCCTATTCGCCGCGTTGTCCTCAAGTCCAAGAATGGAATCCATGTCCTTTTAAAAAAAATCTGCTAATTTTAAGTGTTCTCATGTTGTAATTAATGAGACAATTTTATTACTAAATAAAGAATAAGAGGATACATATTATACAAAATATATCTGTATAGTTTTTAGATAAAGTGTATAATTTAGGATACTTCTGATTGCTTTTAACAGCTATCAGCAGTAATTCTGATTTATTTGCTGGATCATGTAGATTACCTTTTGGTGCAACCCTTAAAAACACATGAAAAACCTCAGACTGAACTCAACTACAAAGGGAAATTGTTGGCTCATATAACTAGTGGTAAGGTGGTTTTCAAGCATAGTTTGATCAAGGCTTCAACTCAATATCTCTGCATTACTTTCACCTCTGCAGATCTCTGTATGTCAGCTTTCTTCTCAGTTATCTTTCTTTATCATAACAAATAATTTCAGCATTCTGAGTCTTATAGTCTTTTATGATACCCTCTAGGAAAAGGACAAATTGATGACAGCATATTAGAAAGCCTAGGCACTTAAGAGAAATTCTGAACATAGACAATCCTTATAGATTCATTCCCATGTGGAATATTTAGAGGGTACCGCATCCTAGGGAACTCTTGCCCAACATGGAGTAAGGTAGCTATGGGATGTTTCAGCAAAGATAGGGTCTACATAGAACCACCTAGTCCCCCATGCTGGTGTGTACCATAGTAGAGATACAGAAATTTCAGCAAATCTGCCGTAGGAGAACAAATTTGTTTTGGGGTTTTTTGTTTTGTTTTGTTTTGCTTTTTTTAGTGAGAAAGGATTTATTGAGAGGACAGAAAAACTCCCACTGGGACAGGACCTGAGGGGGTTGCCTGAAGACACAAAATTGTTAAGAAAGCCAAGAGGAATCACAAATGGAGGCCATAAGAAGGCCCAGAGTCATAAGTTGCTGATGTTGGCACACATTCTCAGAGCTTGTGAGAATGGAAAATGGACAAAGACAGAATTTGACATCTGTTGTATTAGTCACGGTTCTCCAGAAAAACAGGACCAATAGCTATACATAGATCTATAAGAAGAGATTCATTATGGAAATTGGCTCACATGTTTATGGATGAGAAGTCCCACGATGTGCCATCTGCAAGCTGGAGAACCAGGAGAGACTGATGTGGTTCAGTCTGAGTCCAAAGACCTAAGAACCGGGGCAGGGGGCAGAGGGTGGGAGGTATGCTGGGGTAAGCACCAGAGTCAAGGGCCCCAGGAACCAGTAGCTCCCACGTCTGAGAGAAAATTGATGGCCTAGCTCAAAAAGAGAGAAAATGTACCCTTTCTCCACTTCTCTGTTTTATTCAGGCCCTCAACAGATTGGATGATGCCCACCCACATTGGTGAGGGTGGGTCTTCTTTACTCAGTCTCCTAACTTAAATGCTAATCTCTTCTGAAAACACTGTCACTGGTACATCCAGAAATAGTGTTTTGCCAGCTATCTGGGTATCCCTTAACCCTGTCAAGTTGACACATAAAATTAGCCTTCACAACATCCAAAGGATAGGTAGGCAAGACATCCCAGCTGAATCCAGCAAGGATCAAAGGATGGCATGCTAATTGCTAAACTAAACTAGATTTGACCTGAGGGTGCCTCCATACTGGAGTGCTGGCATGAGGAACTGCAACCTAACTTAACAGGTAAACTAACTGAAAGCCTAACTTAGAAGTATACAACTGGTAACAAATAGCTGACTCAGTCAGTTACAACAGCAGGGTGTCAGTCATTGCAGACAGCCAGCTGATTCCAGTGAGGCAAAACACCAAGCTGTGACCACACAAACTGTCTCTGTGCCTCACTTCCCTCTTCTGCCCATAGATGGTGTCTGATCACATTGCACACCAGAGTTCTTAGAACCTGTTCTGGTTCTAAGGGCTGCCCAGTTCTCGAATTGTTCTTTGCTCAATTAACTCGGTTACATTTAATTTGCCTGAGGGATGTGGTGAAAAAGGAACACTTCTACACTGCTGGTGGGAATGCAAACTCGTGAACTAGTACAACCCCTTTGGAAGACAGTGTGGCAATTTCTGAAAGAACTAGAAACTGACCTTCCATATGAACCAGCAATCTCCCTACTGGGAATATACCCAGAGGAGCGCAAATAATCCAACAAAAAAGATACCTGCACACGCATGTTTGTTGCAGATCTATTCACAACAGCAACCACGCTGCCCATCAAAGCTAGACTGGGTTTTTTAAATGTGGTACATATACACAATGGAATATTATGCAGCCATAAAGAAGGACAGACATATGAACTTCGCAGCAACTTGGATGGATTTAGAGTCTATCATACTCAGTGATCTTTCACAGAAACAAAGAATAGTACCATACGTTCTCACTTATAAGTGGACCTTGAACAACTATCAAAATATTATAAGAAAGGGATTGGCAGTAGTGGGAAACTGCCACGGAAGGGGGTGTGAGATTGGCAGTAGAGGGAAACTGCCAGGGGAGGGAGGGGCACACCTCATCAACAAGGGTACCTGCATAATGAACACTTGTATACCTAACCCTGAATTGTATCCCACACCTTTAAAATAAAATAATAATAATAATTTGTCTGAGGTTTTTCCTTTTAACAGAACCTGTGCCATCCTTTGGCAAGTTCCTTATCTTACCATAATGTATCATTATTTCCCCCCAGAGCCCTCCAAGAGACTGGAAAGAACGAAAGATAAGGTGTTGTATTTGTCCCCCAAGAGACTGAGTTACTTGAAGGAGTGCTGAGTGACCACATTACTTTGAATGAGCAGAGGGATAAGCCCTGTACCACTATTACACATCTAAGAGGGAGAGCTGGGCCATGAGCCCCCATCATGATGAGTTCCTTATGTACCTGTTGAACGGAAGGAGCCTGGAGGACTTCAAGGAGCAGCCGGTCAGGGAGGCAGTGGGAACCCAGGAGAAGGTATTACCAGCTCGCTTGGTAGCAGCCACTCAATGAGGCAATGAATATTCTAAACAAATATCTTTGCATCCTTGTTTGAATAGCTAAGATAAATCTTATAAACTTAACCTTAACCCAGTCAAGTTGACACATAAAATTAGCCATCACAACATCCAAAGGCCAGGTAGGCAAGACATCCCAGCTGAATTCAGCAAGGATCAAAGGATGGCATGCTAATTACTAAACTAAACTAGATTTGGCCTAGTATGCCTCCATACTCGAGTCCCTGCATGAGGAACCGCAACCTAACTTAACATGCAAACTAACTGAAAGCCTTACTTAGTAGTTCAAGGTTATGTAGACCCTCACCTGAATTTTCAACAAAAGAATATGAAATTAAGAATTAACAAGACTGATGGGACCCTAAACAGAATGATCAAGAAACAGAGAAAGTCCAAATAAATGCAATCAGGAATACAAAAGATCAAATCACAACTGACCCCGAAGAAATACAAAAGATTATCAGAGATTACTATGTACACCTATATGGAAACAAACTTGATGACCTAAATGAAATGGAGGAATTTCTGACATCACACATCCTCTCCAGGTTGAAACAAGAAGACATTGAGACACTAAATAGACCAATAACAACCCAGGAAATTGACTTTGGCATATGAAAACTACCTACAAAAACTCCTGGACCAGACGACTTTCCAGCAGAATTCTACAAAAAGTACAAAGAGGAGCTGATACCAATCCTATTGAAAGTATTCCAGGCAATTGAGAAAGATGAACTTCTCCCCAAATCATTTTACAAAGCTAACATCACACTGATAACCAAACCGGGTAAAGATCCAACAGAAAAAGAGAACTACAGGCCAATATCCCTTATCAACATAGATGCAAAAGTCCTCAACAAGATTCCAGCAAATCAGATCCAAAAATACATCTCAAAAATCATCCACCATGACCAAGTAGGCTTCATCCGCAGGATGCAGGACTGGTTCAACATTCGCAAGACCATCAATGTAATTAAATACATCATAGATGTAAAAAAAAAAAAAAAAAGAACCACATGATTATATCATTAGATGCAGAAAAAGTTTTTGATAAAATCCAGCATCCACTCTTGATAAAAACCCTCAAACACCTAGTTATAGAAGGAACATACCTCAAAATAGTAAGTGCCATCTACTATAAACCCACAGCCAGCATATTGCTAAAAAAACAGAAACTGGAAACATTTCCCCTGAAAACTGGAACAAGACAAGGCTGCCCATTCTCACCCCTCTTGTTCAGCATTGTGTTGGAAGTCCTAGCTAGGGCAATTAAACAAGAGAAGGAAATCAGGGGTATCCAGATAGGAAAAGAGGATGTCAAATTATCCCTCTTTGCTGATGATATGATCCTATACCTTGAAAATCCAAGATAATCTGTCAAAAACCTGCTTGCACTGATAAAGGACTTTGG